GCTGTTTTATTTAAATAGGTATCGTATTTAGTAAAATACCTATATGTTTTATTATATCATTTTTATTATGATTCTTTAAGAAGTTTTGAATAATTTGATTTAATTCTTAAATCAATTAATTCAAATGTGGATTAACGTACTTTTGCTAAAAAAAATTCAGCTTACACCTATGTCTCTTATAGTATGTAGTACCATTATTTATTCTGTGCTTGTAGTATAAGTCTTTAAAATATTCACGATAACATGCATAATATTTACTTGTACAAATATTATAGTTTAACTGGTACAACACTAGTTACACGTACCGGTAATTAAAGAAAAGTATAGCAACAATGAACTGCATTGAAAAGAAAGGGATGCATAGTCCGAAAATATCCGAAGATGTTCGAATAAATCAACGCGAGTTGCTTGTGACAAATATACGTTGAGCTCTGATTTAATTCCCTCAAGATGCAAAAATATTAAACTTATACACAATCGTTGTCTTAGTGATCATGCATTGGTGCTGTTAGATTTGGACATAAGAAAACCAAAATTTTATAAACAAGTAAAACAACAGAGATTACTAAGAAATATTAATTCCGAAGCTTTCGCAAGAGATCTGACACTTATACCCTGGGACTCTATCTATAATCTAGAGAACGTAGACGAAATGGTTCAAACTTTCAACGCATATATGAGTCAATTATTTGATGCTCATGCACCTGCCCGTACGCTGACGATAAGGGATAAACCAAAGCCATGGATTACAGATATGTTGCTATTCATGATGAGTTTACGTGACGATGCGTTAGAAAAAGCCCAGAAGGATAAAAAAGATTGTTCAAATGAATACTACCGAACCCTTAAAAATTTAGTCACAGCAACCCGTAAACGCGAAAAAAAAGCTTACTTTAACCATTATATAAACAACAACTTAAAAGATCCGAGGTCGCTGTGGCGTAATATAAAAAATGCTGCACAAATTAAAACTACTCATTTAAATACAATTCCACACCATCTCAATGACCCGAATATTATTAATGACTATTTTCTAGACTTGCCGCCATGTGACAAACCAGAACTCAAACAAGGTTATAAAGTATGTAACGAATGCTCACACGATATCCTATTCGACCTAAACCCGACAAATGAAATAGAAATCAGTAAGATTATCAATAAAATAAAAACAAAAGCCGCAGGGCACGATAACTTAAATATTGAAATGCTCAAATTAACTTTGCCTGTAACTCTCCCTATTATTACATTTATAGTAAACAAGTCGATCGAAACTAGTACATTCCCAACGCAATGGAAAAGAGCTCTAGTCAAGCCCATTCCTAAAAAGAACACAGCATGTCAACTAAAAGATCTGCGCCCTATCTCGATCCTCCCGGTGTTGTCTAAAGTCTTAGAAAAAATTATACTTTTTCAAATGCTAAATTACTTAGAAACGAATAACCCCCTACCAAAGTTTCAATCAGGGTTCAGAAAAGGGCATGGCACGGAAACTGCCCTCTTAAATGTCACTGACGATCTAACAGAGGCCTCAGATATGGGATTGAGCAGTATTATGGTGTTGTTGGATTACACGCGGGCATTTGACTGTCTACAACCTGAAATCCTCTTAAATAAATTAGAGCACTATGGCTTTTCTAAAGACACATGTAGATGGTTTCAGTCATTCCTATCCAACAGAGAACAAATTGTGGTAACAGATGGATGTAATGGTGGCAAGAAATTCTCCACTCTACGGAAAATTGTAAGAGGAGTACCCCAAGGCTCCTTACTCAGTCCTATTTTGTTCTCTCTGTACACAGCAGACCTACCTAAGCAAATAAAACCATTTATACGCAGACGACACCCAGCTGTATTATTCTTTTGAACCCAGGGATGCCAAAGAGGCAATAAACAGAATAAATGAGGATCTCCATAATATCCAAACCTGGTCCCGAAAAAAATTCTCTAGTATTAAACGCAACTAAATCACAAGTACTAGTTTTGGGCACAAAAAACCAAATAAAAACTATTTTAGACAGCGAGGAAACGATTAAAATAGAAGATGAAACCTTGACACAAGTAAGATCCGCTCGTAATTTAGGGCTTATACTAGACGGAGAGCAGAAATTTGTAGAACACATCAATAACAAGATAAGAAATTCGTACTTTAAACTTAAAACTTTATACAAAATAAGACCGTATATTAAAGAGGACCTACGCTTTCTCTTGTGTGACTCATTGGTGTTATCACAATTGAGCTACTGCAGCTCAGTCTTTGGCCCTAAATTGTCAGCGAAAGAGCAATACAGAGAGTACAAAATGCATGTGTTCGATACTGTTGTAATGTACCAAGAAGACAATTTATAACCCCATACTTAAATGAAAAAGGCATACTCAATATGGGCGCGAGGAGAGAATTACACTATGCTTCGATAGTCCAAAAGGTAATTTGGAACAAAAAGCCAGAATACCTTTTCGAAAAACTCATTTGGATCAAAGATATTTCCTGTCGAAGTATTCGTTCTCACACACAAATGCTCCTCCACACACCCGCACACAAAACAGCAAGATATAGAAGTTGTTTCAAATTCACTGCAGCGAGAATTTGGAATGACCTCCCTCGACCCATGAGGAAAAAAATGTCAATAGATTGCTTCAAAGCCAAGTATAAATTGGCTCTGTTAAAAAGACAACTCGCAGCAGAGAATTTGAAACATCCCTATGTTAAGTTTTTACATTTACGGGACTTTTTTGTCAAAAATTAATAAGGATACACACACACACACACACACACACACACACACACACACACACACACACACACACACACACACACACAAACACACATACACTCAAATAAGTTCAAAGAAAGGAAAGTTTATTTTATATTTTCTATTTCTCGTGTTGTTTTTGAATCTGTTGTTAGTTCATTTCGTAATGGTTGTTTTTGTGCATATTTTTCAATGTTTTTATTTTGTCTTTAATGTTTTTAATCTTTTTTTTTTTTTGTATTTGCGATTTAATATTTATATAATATTTTTTTTTAATTAAAAAAATATTTTATATTGATATAATATTTAATTACTTTGTACATAGCTTAAAAGTACAAGTCAGGTAAATGGGGAGCCTGCTACTTTGGACTCCCGCACAACACCTCAGGGAGGAGGGAGCGGCTGAAAAACAGCTCCGTATGAGATCTGTATCTCGTTACAGACAAAGCTGAGCCGTCTCCTTTTGTCTCAAATAATTATAATGTTCTTTTGTTTTTAACGTGAATGTAACTGTGTGTTTTAGAGGCAATAAAATTTATTATTATTATTATTATTATTAATTGTAATCAATGAATTTGGAAATTAAAATTCACTTATCTATGAACAATGATGCCATTTTTTTGCATTTACACATTTAGCTACTATTTTCGCACTATTTTATTGTACAGGGAACCATGTTGCACGTCTGTTGTATTTTATTTTGTCGAAAATTCACGAGTCACATGCAAGATGTTCACGGGTCAGGGAAGTGGTCGCTACTAATCGTTTTCTCAAGTAAGACGTATTTGTCTAATGTGTTGACAGAAAGTGGTTGCCTTCCATGAGGCGTCTATTCGGGCTGTGTAGTCGTTGGAGAAACCTATAGACTAATAATTAGCGTGGCCTAGAGAGAGAATTTTTGTAAGTAGTTTGCACAACCTTCTTGTTCTTATTGCTTTTCTCCTTCTTTTGACAAAATTAATTTAAAATAAAAAAATCCCGAAAGAAACAGAATTGATGACCTTCAAATAACTGAAAAGCCTTTCTTGTCTAATATAATGATATATAATGAATGATAGCTAAGAACACTCTCGTTCGGACCGACTTTCAAAAGAAAAAATTGAATCTAAATCGGTTCACATAATGATTTCTTATTTTTACGTGAACACTACACGTTGATTAAAACGACTTTTACGGATTTTATCGTGTTTAATTTTAATTATTTTTTATTCATTAACGTCGAGAATTAAAAATAATTAAAATTAAACGCGATAAAATCCGAAAAAATAGTTTTAACTAAATCGGTAATGTCACACTTTATTATTATTTATTTATTTATTTTATTTGTTTGACCAACTGTAAGTACACTAAAATCATTCAAATACATCAGTATCACTTGAATAATAAGTAAATGACTCACTATTTACAGGTTACCACAGCAAGTACCAATATAAAGTAACTTATAGTATATTATAAAAAAAAACTAAATCAACAATTTATCAATTGAAGCAATAATATGGATAATGTACGTCATTTTTCAAATTTGTAAATCAGACGATACGATTGTAACTACTCTCATAATATTTGGCAAAGTATAAGGAGACCAACGATGACCACTTCACATTTCTATTTTCACACGTGAATTACACGACTTTTACATTACGTTACGTTTTTTACATTAACAAAATTTATCTGATCGAACATAAAGTATTAAGATTGAATAACCTTTAAAAAATCCTAATCTACGTACAGCAAGGATCGAACTAAAGGGTATACTCACTACTTTTAGATCGAACTATGAGTGTGTAAACAAAGTTTTAAGTGATCGGCTTAGACTAATTACGTACATATTACGTACATGTGGTTAGTGTTACCGAAATCATTAACTTTTTCTCTCTCTTTTAATGTTTAACTTTGGTTAATGAAAGAGGCAGCCTAGGCGCAAACTATGCGTTGATGGCATATCGTGAATGTTGCTAAAACATGGTGATTGACTACTCTTTGAATATTTCGTTCAAAGCAAACGGTGAATTGGTGTTGGTGATAACGAATGGATTAACCAGTATATTCTAAGCCTAGGGTTTAAGCTAGGTTTACGCTAGGTTACGTTCCCGAAGTCTTTCAAATTATTCTTTATTCTCTATAGCTTAACTATACTGCATAGATTATTTTAAACATATTTGAGTGTAGTACTGTGACAGCCCGTGATCATGTCATGACAGTAAAGGATTAAATCAGATTAAATGTTTATTTGGATGTTTTTATTTCTGGATGAGTTTCAGACAAAATAATTCAAATAGTTCACTGAGAACATCGTCACTGAATAGCAAAAGTGCGCGACAATCTGAAAAAATAACTAATCTTGAAAATATAATAGAAATACTTAAACAAAATAATGAGAATTTAAAAAAGTCCTTAGATAACAAAGATGTTAGAATAGTAAATTTAGTACGTGAAAAGGAAAAGTTACACGAGGAATTAAAATGTGCACAACGAACAAATAGAAATTTACACCAACAATTAACTGACGAAAGGTACATTTTTTGTTGGTGTTGAGTCAGTCATAATAAGTAAACCTATAAACTGATTAATTAATTTTTCGTTTTAGAGACATACATTTTAAGGAAAAAGAATATTTGGTCGATGATATTAAAAGGTTATCCTTTGCAAGACGTGTAAGTCAAACAGCACTGAATTTTCCCTGAAATTTACCTTTTATACGGTTTTAAGAATTTTATTATACTTCAGGGAGATATAATTTTCAAATCATTAGAAGAAGAAATTAAAGAAAAAGATGAAATTATTTACAATATATGTGCTAAATATTTAAAAATGAAATCAAACAAAATAACATTGCAAAAAAAACTTATCATGTTACAAGAGCAAAGTGAAAAGGTGAACTTCTTATCGATATGTAACTAATAGATACCGCGCTTCTATTACAAAATTTTGTTTAGTCCTATTTTAAGTAATATTCCACATTGAAACGGAAATGACGGTAATTGGATATTCAATCTTATTTCTCTAATAACGCTAATCGGTCGGCCTATCGGGACAAGACTACACTCGCACAGTATAACAGCATGATAATAAATAAATAATGAAGATCGGAGACCCTTTCAACTGGTAACAAGGCATTGCATCTTTGTCGTCAGAGGTGAAAACTCAACTGCAATGGGATATATGATCTCGGTTCTCCAAGTTACTACTAACTTTCCTATTACGGGTCAGAAGTATCCTAATACCTTTTTCTACCACATGTTATAATAATCTATTCAGTTTTATTTTAGCCTGTCTCTTCATTTCGTTTTTTTCTTCCCTTAATTTATAATGATGGTAAACAACATAATTTAGAATATTCATAGTAGCATTTTTATGAAACGTCAAATAAAACTCAGGTTGTCAAACTATCTGCAAAACGTAGCAATACTGACAAACATCCGTATGAACAATAGCACAAATAGGCGGCCTACAGTCCCCAACGCAGTACGCTATTTCTAGCTTTGCTGGTGACACTCAAAAAGTTGAAGACTGACTCTGCTGCGGCAATGAGTTGAATTTTTACGTAACCAATGATTCCGTTAAAGATTGAAAGCTTTTACGGACAGTGTACTCATCATCATTGGAGCTACACGCAAGTAGCGTTAATGATCGGAGATCAAGTCCCTTTCAACTGTATTGCGTTATTACCTTGGACGTGCGTCTAAAAAGTATGTGTTGGTGAAATTAAACTCCGTTTAATTTCACCAACACATACATGTGACATGGAGGTGACAAAAGTGTACACATACATGTCACATAAAGGTGACAGGAGACTCAGACCTTACAGAATAGTGATCCTAGAAGTTATTAAATACCTAGTGGCAATGCGACTCGTTTTACAGCAGATTTAACGACTTCCAGCCCTAGGAACATGTAACAACATACTTTTGTACCATGAATCACCATATTATGGCAAATTATTCAGATGACTGAAGAGTACAATTTGCAGCTATGGCAACTATGAAAAAGCTTTTACTTGGTATAATTTAGGCAGCGTTACGATTGGTTGTTAGTACATATTTCCAAATGACAATATGTTTGCTATTTATTTATATACTTACTGTTATATCATTACTGTTATGGTAACATTTAAAGAACCAAAGTACAAAACATTTTTTTAATGAGTATGCCAACGCATACTGATAAGATCAAATCATTCTACTAAAAGGTCATTACCCAAAGAGCATAGGCAAGAACCAGCCGTACAGAGCGTCTCCAACCGGGAGTAGGTATGGAAAGAGAAAAAGCTTCACGGGAGGTTGTACAAGGTTCTACGCGGTTGCACGTGAGCCTTTCGTAGACTTGGACGGCTCCATCCGTGGTTCGCTGATCTCTTTAAAGAAACTGAGGGGTTTTCTCGTTGCGGTACAAGAGCAGATTATTAAGACGAACATCGGAGATATATACTAAAGGATGGCATCAAAAGATGTCTGTCGAGCTTATTGCCATTCTAGAAAATGGCTTACACATGTCATCACAAGTTGTTCGTTATTTGCGTAGCCGCAACTTAGTGACCAGGATTTTACAACAGGAGCTAGTTTACAACTTCCTAAAGTACGGTCCTTCCTAAAACCGTGCCCGAAATCGATCGCCCAGGCTTTACTAGCTCTGGGTCATCGTTACTAGTAGGACTATTCCTGGGAATAAACCTAATATTGTGGTGAGGAACGAGACACCGTCAAGGATATTTTTTGTTGACATTTCCATTCTTCTTGACGAAAATCTCATGAAAAGCAATCTAAATCCATTCCTTATTCTTTTTTTGTATTTATTCTGTAAATTTTTTGTTTCTATAAATTAGTAATTGAATTACTAATTAGGAAAGCGCACTGCTAATGAGTGATAAGCGAACAATGTAATCTGTTCGTTCGAAGTGGAAGGTAGGAATCAAATAAACAGTGTAATAAGTTGTTTAAATTTTGCTTACAATGAAAATTAGTCTGACTGGTTGATAATCATAATGCTGTTGTCAATATCGATATAATACATAATATTATTTTAAAAGACTAACACTATATAAATATGATACGAGATTTTGACTAAAGAAAATAAATTGGTATTATTTAAACGCAAACAGACTTCACCAATAATATAAAATAACTTTTGGTAAATCCAAATTTGCATGTCTTAAGCGTTCATCTTATACGTAAATTTTTAAAGTATTTTAAATTCATACAAGTTTTCACTACTAACCTTATCTTATTAGTTTGATTCGATTTTTTTTTATTTGAAGACTTCCGCGCACGCCCCTTTTTAACTTTGCGCCCCACAGAACTTGCCTAGTTTGTCTTAAGGATATCCCGCCACTGACCGGAAGTAAAGTCTCATCATAACTTACAAAATGAGCTCAAACTAACAACACCTATTACTATTACTATTCTTCGATTAGTTTCAGTTGCATTCACCGAAGTATACCTTCAGGTCACTCCGTCAAGTAAGGAAGTAAGGTCTCATCATAACTAACATAACGAGCATAATCTCGGTACACCTAGTTCTAATCGTCGAGGATTTCCAGTAGCAGTTACCGAAGGACGCCTTCAGGTCACTACTTAAATTCCAAGACGTATAACTATATTTATATAAAAATCCTACGTACTTTTAGGGAAACAATATACTGTAATAAAAATCTGTGATTATAAAAATAATAATAATATCTTACCTTGGTCAAGTATGTATCAAATTTGGTTTTCGGAATATTTTGTATTTCTACAGGGATCGATATTTTTCATCACTAGCCGCTGTAAATAAACGATACATTAACCGACTTACGACGACGGCCGAGCCAGCAGTGAGTCAAAATGCAGATCCACTTTGACTCACTGCGGGCTATTTAGTAAACTATTGTATATAAGGCTGCTCTAACACCCAAAATTTCGGATTTCTCAGCTAAAAAAAACTATAACTAAACAAAACAAAATTAAACAGTAATTTACATTCCTTGGCTTCCCACATGATAGATGAAGAGTTTAAAAAATAGATTGAGTTGAACAATTGATAATTGTAAAAGTTATCGTGTTTAATCCGCCTTGCGGATTTAATAAATCGACACCATAAGCCACTAAAACCACTTTTTAAGGTAAAAATAGCAATTAATCGATTTAAAAATTATAATAAGTTCAACAATAATTTATCTTTCTAACAATGTGATTTTAACATCATATATGTTCAATATGATTGTTAGATACGGTTTCACGCTACAAAACATTGGATTCTCGATCTGTAGGCGCTAGTAGTACATACTTACGCGCTTTGCACTTAAGGTATGCAATAAGACATTATTACATTGAAAAACAATTTTTTTTCAGATGTGTAAAAACATTATATTAATACTACAAGAAAACAGAGAAGCTTTAGATATTCTACTTAATAACTTATTAAAAATGTCTAATATTTCAAAAGCCGGTAAAAAGTTTTTAAAATTATTGAAAATTAACGCACGACTTTATTACGAAAACACGCAATTGAAAATTTACATGACATCTGGGAAAGACATTTATATAAAAGAAGGTATAAGTATGCCTAGTTTTAGATTTTTGAAATATTCAAATTCGAAGGAAAAAGACATCTTCAGATGTAAACCGAAACAAAAATTTCTGCAACGTTCAATGTCTACAAACGCTACTCGTGTTTTCAAATATTCTGAAGGTATAACAGGGTTGGAAACTATACATAGGTCTTTATTACCACACTTTTGTAAAGAAATTTACAGATCAAAATCAGACAGTCATTTGGCTAATTTCAAGTAAAATTTGAATAAAAATTTTATGAAATAATGATACTATTGTTTTATTTTAAACAAGTCCATTTCAACAATACACACGGTACAAGCTGCTAATACATAATAATATACATACATAATACATAAACACTCCTGCCAGTCACTCAGAGGGGTAGACAGAGACTACCATTTGGCACGTTCCTGTCCTGGTACACTTCTCTCGCCTTCTCCACATCCATGTGCCTACGCATACATGCTATTCGGTTAATAGGACTCTTAATTTGGCTCATTTTCAATTTATCACCAATTTGGTCGATATACTTTCGCCTAGGACGTCCCTTTCCAACTCTACCGTTCACTTCTTCAACATAAATTTGCCTTGTCACTGTTTCCTTATTCATTCTTTATATACATGACCAACCACCGAAGCATTATTTTATTAATCCTGGTCGCAAGATCATCTTGCAAACCACACACTTCTCTTATCACACAATTTCCCACCCTGTCACTCAGATTCTGCCCTAAATAGGGGCACTATTACACTACCCTGAATCAGGGCCCTGAATGATGGGTGGGCGTGTCCCCTAATTAGGGACCTGAGTTATTACACTACCCTGATTTTACACCCTTTCTCGGTCATAGGGATATGAAAAAAGTATATATATTTATTGAATCGATATTTTTAAACACTATCAATATTATTGCGTGATTAATATCGATATATCGTCATGTTTTGCATGATGTAGTGGGATAAGGGCCAAAATTTTATTACTGGACGTTTTGAAAACGAAAAAAATATGACTATTAATAGTAAAGAACTCTTTTCTTTACTATTGTCGTGCTTAGAAGAAAGCTATGGGTTAAGTATTATTTAAAACTTAGGTAAAATCATTCAAATATGGGGATTATCGGAGTTCTGGAGCCCAATGAATTTCGAATACCTGAGAATAGGGGAAGAGGAGTTCTACGAGCTATTAAGTTTAGCTCCTTATATCGAAAAACAAAATACGTTTAAAGAAAGAGTGTAAGTGTAGGCAAAGATTATTTGTGACTAAGATTTTTGTGCTTTAAGTGCGTGTATTTGTGTGCGCGCTTTGTGTTACAAAGCTTAAATAATAAAAAATTAACTACTACCATAATAATTTGTTATTTAGAATTTTAT